CGAGAATACGTATATCAGATAGGGCTTCTTATAAAAATAGAGGTAGGGAAGGGCTTGAAGTTAGGCACCTGATTTAATTGTCATATGACACACTAGTTATCATCACGTTTGTGGGGATGAGAATAGTCAAGATAAAAAATATTACTGTGTCATAACTACTGTGTCATTGTATTTATAGAACAGGCCAAATTTAAATAAATCCTTTCGCCAAATTTTAATAAATCCAAAAAGGATTTATTTTAGCATGCTAAATCAAATAAGATGAGAAGTAATAGAAATAAATGACACATTTAATTACCAATAGAGAAGCATTAGTTTGCCATCTATTCAATGAACCCTGCACTGCAGCGGTGTCATTATAGAAATCTTTTGGTCCCAAAGCACTGAGTTTGTGTCGTAGATAGAGAGTGGCTATGAACTTAAATTGAATCTTAGCACTCCTGTTCACATAATATTTTTTCTGCACATGGTAATATTTTTGATTTCTTTAATTATATGGGCATGCCTTTGCATAGCTAATAACCCAGTATTATATTGGTGAAAAATGAATACAGGTTCATGTACATGTGGAGATCAATGCATCAGTTTCATGTTGTCCAGAATGACATTGTGCAGCAAGTGCGAGGCCTCGTTAATCAGGCAAACAAGGCCGAACCAACATTTGATATGCACAGGCAGGCAACACGTGATCTCGAATCAGCTGTAGCTGCCTGGCATTCTAGTTTCTGCCGCCTGATAAAATTCCAACGGGATTTTGTCTGTTCTCTGCATGGCTGGTTCAAGCTTTCCCTCCTCCCAGTCAGCGGTGAGTTAACTAATGGCAACAGGGAGCTATCCGAGGTTTTTGCTTTTTGTGATGAGTGGAAACTTGCACTCGATCGGATTCCCGATACAGTTGCCTCCGAAGCCATCAAAAGTTTTGTCAGTGTTGTACATTCGATATCTTTGAAACAAACGGAGGAGCTCAAGATCCAGAAACGAACCGAAACTGTATCAAAAGAACTTGAGAAAAAATCGTCCACTGTCAGGAACATTGAGAGAAAGTATTACCAAACGTACTCTATGGTCGGTTTAGGTCTTCGTGATACAGGGCCTGAAAATGGGCATGCTTTGGATGCACGAGACCCCCTGGCCGAGAAAAAAGCAGAGCTTACAATTTGCCAAAGGCGGGTGGAAGATGAGATGCTGAAACACGCCGAGGCAGTTGAGGTGACCCGAGCAATGACACTAAACAACTTACAAACAGGCTTGCCTGGTGTTTTTCAAGCCATGACCAGTTTTTCTGCTTTGATCGCAGAAGCACTCGAGGCAGTTTGCACCAGCTCCTATGCCATCAAGTAGACAAAAACTCGTATTTTAATTTAAAATATATTTCTTCTTTTTATATTCGGGTTTTGTGGCTGGTAGGAAATAGATTAGCAGGCATTTTTTCATGTACTTTTTTTTTGGCAATGGTCTTTTGACATTGAGTTTTATTTCAGTTATGTAAATAGGTGGAATTTTGCAGTTGCTGTCACCATTTTTGTTGGTGAGGGTGAGAATCTCTCCTTGCAGGAAATTGCTTGCATTATTGTATCAGAGATTCATTATTTTTCCGGCAGCTCAATAAATTTATCTCCTCTGTCTGAGGTGTACTCTTCTTGTCCTCTACGTTGGTTTCTATTTGCTTGTACTTTCTTCTTCAATTCTATTTACCACATTTCTTTTTCAGTTACCAATCTTCTTCTGTTAGGATCCCAAATTACCCAGTGACAAAATAACAGTGTAACATTGATGGCTACTCGTTTCACCTTAGTGGACGTGCTGGGTGAGCTGACTAAAACAGCCCAACGTGGCCAACCAATTTTATACTCCTATGGTCAAAGTAGGAATGTTGCTTCCTCTTAAAGTTCTTCTGATTCGACAAAGTAATTTCTGAAAAAATAATCCAAACAGGTTTAAAAGTTAGTCTCAAAAGCAACTGAAAAAAGTTGGTCCAAAATATCCAAGCTGGCCCTATATCGTGAAATCACCCGAGAAACTTAAAAAAGACCACTTTTATTTGGTTCTTGCAGTGCAAACTGATATATGAAAGCAAACAAGCAAAGTGCCAAAGAAAGATTCGGTAAACATGTTCTGTGAATCTTCTGAAGTCTGAGCTGTCCAGATTCTGTTGTGTCAAGCTTTCTTCTAAACATGGAACAAGACAGAAAAGAAGATGAAAAAAAAATTATGAAAAACATCAGCTGGTTACAAGTACTTTGCAAAAAATATTACTGGTCAGATGATAAACTACCTCAAAGTATGAAGTGTCAGATTGCATGTTCTTTTGGCTTCCTACATAAGATAGGTTAGTTGACAGCTGCCTTGATTTTTGAATGGAGTTTATAATCTTTTTTATTGATTTTTCTACGGAGTTGAGTGGATTTTTTATTGCTTAAAATGGTTATCTTGGATCTGAAGCCCCTACTTCCCAGATGTTTCCTGTTGGGTAGTCCGGATCCAATACAACAATATATAAGGGGAATTTGCCTGTGAGTCCGCAATCTATGGACCTTGTGGCAGCTTGATCAAGAACTACTTTTCTACTTTCAATCAACACTAAGAAACAATTCATAATGGTAT